ATCCCACCTTTTTGGTGCAAAAAGAAAAACCAATTTATAGTTTTATGACATGTGACAACAATCTTATTTATAGTTTATAATTATACCTTAAAAAGTCTCTTTCTTTTTCGATTTAATGTTAAGTAAATATCTAATATCAGTTAATATATTATTGTCCTTAGTCCTTACATCAATAATTGGACGATTTATATGCCGTCGTTATGTTAAGAAAAGCAAAGCCTTGATTGTTCGTAGTTAGAAAGAAAGATACTTGGACAAAACAAACTTTGTTTTTGTTTTGTATTTACGTATAGAAGTTCTATAAAATGCTAAACATAAAAATAAGCTTTTATTTTGTAATGTTAACACATATTCTAACGGAGAATAAAGTTTACGTTTGCAAAAACCAAAATCTACATCATCAATGTTTGATAATGTTTTCAAACAACTTATTAGTCTAGCTAGTAATTTAGTAGCTCTCGTTTTCAAGAACTCTTATAATTCAATTCCGGTGTATAACAAAACACCTATAAAGCGAAGACAACTAATTTCTCCTTTTTTTTTCTTCTTCTTAGAATTCTATCTGAGTTATTGAGATAAGTTATAAATTATTGGTACTAGAGAAGTTGACGTACGCAAAATGTAATGAAACATAGACTTAAATAATTAGTTTAGTCAATAACTCGGTTAGGGAAATGGTGACTTGCAAGCATATAAGTTCCAGCACAAGTCTTCTTGTGTGAAGCTAAAGGCACAAATGGGATCCTCGTCTTTAGGACCCACTTAATCCTCCAATTCGTAGCAAAAAAAGCACATTATTCCCACTAAAGATATCATCCATAGGAGATTACTAAATTTAGTAATCCGTAAAATCAATATCAATCGAATATTCTATTAAACAAAGTAGGGCCACAAGTACACATATCAAGCTTGGCTCTTACAATTCCTTGCAATACATATGATCATTTGTACTACCAACATTACCACTCTCCGTTTTCAATCACACAAGATTACAACAAAACTTGACTCTGAAACAGTGAAACAATACATGAAATCGATTCCCACGGTTTTGGAATTCAACATCAAAACCCTTGTCTTTGTCTCTGAAGATGACGAGAAATGAAATGAGAACACACATAAGAATTGATGTGGCCATAGATCATTACCAAGGTTATAACTAACCAAACGAAAAGTTTGGTGTAATTTAGATAAGTAGAGCTTATCGAGAGAATTTATGCGTAGTGAGGTCTCACTTGAAGATCATATACAGGGGTGAACATAGAAAAAAAGAGTTAGCATTCAAACCAAAATTCTTACAAATTATCAAAGTTTAAGATTGATCTATCAAAAACATAAATAAAGAGCCCTAAACTAGTGATAGTTAATGAGTGAATCTCTTTGTTATACCAAGGAAGAAATTTTACAAACTCAGACAAATGTTTCTCATTTGATTACTAGTCATCTTCATCACCAACGAGGACATTGGTGAACAAATCCAAAATCCAATTTCAACACTCTTATAGAAACAAAGAAATTGCCTTTTAAAGCAGCAAAAGCACCTGAGAGTAAGAAAATCATCAAATTCTGACAATTCTCTGATGAACCTTAGACTTCTCAGCATCTATAATGGATTCCACACGCTTAACCGAATCGTCAAGCTTCCCTTTTGCATTCACAACAACGTAATCAAAATCCTTGACATGTCTAATCTCTTCTCTAGCCGTAGCAACCCTAAGAAGCAACTCCTCATGACTCTCTGTTCTCCTATCAATCAGCCTCTCAACCATAGCAAGCTCACTCTCAGCAACAAGAAAGATAAACACAGCAGAGCTCCCAAGAATCTCCTTAAGCGTCTGAGCTCCTTGAATGTCAACTCTCAGAACAATGTCGAATCCTTTACCCATGAACTCTTGGATCTGTTTCTTCGGGATCCCTTTGTAATCGCCGTAAACGAGTGCGTGCTCGAGTAGCTCGTCTTTCTCAACCATTGATAAAAACTCATCTTTAGAGACGAACAAGTAATCTACACCGTCGATTTCTCCGGGACGCATCGCACGGGTGGTAGCTGTGACGACGAAATGGAGAGATTCACGAACCTCGCGGAGCTTGTTGATCACCGCGTCTTTGCCGACTCCGCTCGATCCGCTTACCACGAGGACGAGAGGGTTTGGTGGAGGAGTTATGGGGTCGACGCTGAAGCAAGAACCCAGATGGAATTCGAGCGCGCGAAGCAATTCGGGCTTGGTGACGGAGGATTGAATCGCGGCGGAGTTAGGGTTTCGAGGGGAATCGGACATTTTGAAGGAGGAAGAGAGGAGACGAGGATAAGATCCGGATTTGGTAGAGATTGGGAAGATTCAGGAGAAAGAAGAAGAGAGTTTTCGAAGCATTTGGGGGGAAGGGATTACAGAGGTTAGGGTTTACAGGAATCGTTCTTTCGATCGGTCAACCCTCTTCTTCGGGTCTGATCCATCCATCTTCGTGCTCTTAAATT